TCGGCGCCTCCCAACTTGAAGAAGTTTTATGTGCAAGACACAACAAAAGTGTGATTTATATTTTATGGCTCGCAATATTCAAGTGGCTGTCCGGAATAGTGTTTATTATTTTAGTGCCCAGAGGAAATCCTAGAGGCAGAAGACATAGGCACACTGGCCAATGGGCAATTAGAATTATGGCAATTGGCGGCCTAAGACTAAACAAATATTTGCCTTAATTTTCAAATTAACTTGCATAGTGTTGCCACAAATTCCTCTTTAATGCCATTTTATTAATCTCTCATTTGTGGATTAATCTGAACAACTTCTCAATTTAGAGTCGCACACAAATGAATGTCCAAATATTTCAACGCTGCCCTCTGACACATGCAAAAATCATCTTTCATCTCTCAATTATCGTACGGCCAACTGTTGAGCAACCCGTTTTGCTGTAAATTAAATTAATTAGAGAACAAAAGAATGTCAGTGTAGAAATGAGAGCATAATAAGAGAATTTATACCCTAGCAGATCAATATTTTCTTAATTCTTTTCATAATATAGAGATGCAATCGTGATCCATCTGAAGGACTGTTCGGAAAATAAAGATCTCGGGTCTAAGATCTTATTTGAATGCCTGACAAAACTCTGAGCAAAAAAAAATATACCCTGTGAAGCGACATAAAAAGCTGGGAATCGAGCTAAACTTTTTTAATTGCATTCAATGTAGAGCTGCCAACTACGACGACAAGGACAACGACACAAGGATGAGACTGAGGGGCTGAGAGTGAGACAGCGAGAAACACCAGAGACAGTCAGAGAGAGAGAGAGAGAGAGGGAGACAGAGAGACACGAAAAACTGAGTAAGAGATAGCTAGAAATGGGAGTGCGGAGTGCGAGCTGCATGATGATGACGTTGCCATTGCTGGTTGACTGACGCAGTGCTTTGGGGGGTGGTGGTGGTGGTGGTGGTGCTTGGGCGCATTCCTTGCCATCACTTAATGACATTTTCATCAAGATCCTGCCTGCCGCTGCATCGTAGCGTCCCCCCCCCCGTCCTCATTATCATTATAATTGTCATGCTGATTTCTGTGTGCTGCTTCCTCCAGAGCCTCAGCAGTCGAGAGAGAGAGAGCGCGCGCGCTACAGCCACAGCCACAGCATTTTCTGCATTTGTTTGGGAACAAAGTTTTATTTTTTTTTTGTTATATTTTTTTTTGGTTAAAAGTTCTTTTATATTGTGATTTGTGTGTGCAGTGAGTGAATTGTTGTCGGAATTTGACGACTTCCACTCGCACAGGCAGAGGCATGACTTACATGCAATTCTTTTTTTAATGAGAACTGAGCAAGGAAGTGCCTGAATCCGATAACGACACTGACGGTATGTTGTGCATATGTAATTACATTTAGTCGTGGCATGTGAGCACTTACAGTTAAGTAAGTAAATTACAAAGCAAAAAGAAAATAATAAAGAGAGAAAAGAAAAAAAAGAGATTATTTATTGCCGAAACCCGGGATTGAACCGGGGACCTTTAGATCTTCAGTCTAACGCTCTCCCAACTGAGCTATTTCGGCACTTGAGCGACCAGTGTCAAAAGCTTTTAATACGCTCAGAGAGAAAGAGAGATAAGCGCATGCAGCATTAGTGGCAGAGATAACTGTACGAGCGATAACAATTGTGATATTTTTAGACACATAAAAGCCGAATTAAATTAATAGGCATATTGCAATATTTTGTTTTAAAGAAATATATATTTTCTGATAATTCGAAATTTATTTTAATAGATTTGGCAAAGGTTAATCCTTATATATTTAATTTCCTAAATGATTATTTCTTCATAGAGAGGGTACCAAAATACCTCTAACATAATTTCTTTTTTTTTCACTTTTTCCCCCTTGGCTTGTGGCTTTATTTTTGCATTAATCTTTGCACTACGCTTTGGCTATTAATTTTTAATTTTCGCCCCAACGACAATAAGTTTTGTGATTGCCCCGCACCACCACCATGTCCATGGCACACGTTCCACCCTTTTGTTACTTGGGAGTTGCAAAAACAAAATGTACAATTATTAAACTTTTAATCAATTTATCAATATTAACTTTTTACTTGTGCAGGAGAGGAGCAAAACTTTTCTAGTGCCACATGCCCAACCCGCCACATTTTTTTTTTTTTTTTGTGCACCTCTATGTAAACCCCCTTTAACTTTTCCATTGAGTAAAGGGGGGAAAGGAGCAGCGAGAGAGGATTCTGCTCAATTTTTAGTCGTTACGCCATTTCAATTACTGGCCAAGTGCCAGGACACAGGGACAGAGCAGGGACAGCTGGACAGCTGGACAGCGATCAGTGGCAAATTTATAGAGACAAAAAGCTAGGAGCAGAGCAGACCATAGCCATGACCAATAGCATGAAGAACAAAGGGAATAAGTAAAATGTGTAAAAATGGTGGCACATCCAGGCAGGCGCTCATTTGCTCCCAGACGCAATGGGGGATGATGATGATGCTGCTTGATGCTGCTGCTGCTGCTTGCTGCACTTGTCATATTACTAATTTCCCTGGTGACCAAGACCAGAAGACCAGGAGCCATTGAACCCCTGAATAAAAGCGTGTGTATGTATAGGGTTCAATCGTTAAATGTTCAATCTGCTGCATCAACGGGTTGCAACTGCAACTGCAGCAGTCGCAGTCGTGGCAACTTTTTGATTAACGCCATTATGAGGTGATTGTTCAGTTGAGAGCCAGGTTAAGGTTGCTGGCTGCTCGGCTGATTTTCTGAACCTGAAACGAGTTCTGCTGCTGCTGCTGCTGCTGCTGCCTGCCCGATTGCCCGCCTGCCTGCCCGCTCTGTCTGCCTGCTACCAAATTGCACTCATGTGTGTAATTTATTTTCTCGCCATGAGAAAAACTTCCTAACCGGAAAATGAGGCACTCAATTAAGAAAACGTTTAATCCATGAAATGTTCCAATTGCAGACACACACACACACACACACACATAGACACACGGAATGCAGTGGCAGTCGACAGGGCAGGAAGGACAGGGAGGCGGCGTTTGAGGGGATGGTAGATGGATGCCCTGAATGGCTCGAATGGCCAGAATGTGCAGCATGGACGGAGGAATGGGGAGTGGGGATGGCGGCTCGGGGGCTGAAGCTGAACGACATTGCCCAGTGGGGGCTGTAAAAATTGCTGTCTATATAATTGATTGGGTGTGCCTTTTGGATTTACTTTTTCTCTACGTCTCCGCATCCGTTCCCCTCTCTCTCGCTCTCATTTTATTTTTTGTGCTTAGAGCACATCCCAGTGATTTGTAATTCCCATTTCAAATTACATGGCCAAATGTTTCCCTCGATTTAAAACTGAGCCCAGAGACCAAGGAAAACTGGGCAAACATTTTGCTGATATTAATTGTCTTTGAAAATGGACTTTAAATGGGTTAAACGGAGTGCTCAAAATGAGTGGCTTGGGTAGCTTAGGGAATTGTTTTTGTAAAGATTTTCATTGTAAAAAGTTCCCATGTCTTGAAATTCGAATAAATAGTGTGTCCTTTCGCTTATGGGAAGTTTGTGCAGCGTATCAATGCCATTGCCATGATTCCAAGAACAGCGGAACAAGTGGAATGGTGTGAAACATATCGAGTTTGAAGTACAGTCTTTCCGCTTACGAATACTAAGGAAATGCCTTTGATATGCCCTTCCTCTTTTGTTCGGAATTCCACTACTATATGTAGAATTCTTATGAATGGAAGCACTACACCCTTGTATCTTCTATCTTTGCCTTAAGTATGCATCTCACATACAGTATTTTTCAACCCAAACTAAATATAGACAAAGCCAAAACGGTGACAACGGCGATTATAATCAAATCACATTCACAATTTATTTAACAGAAATATAAATGGAATCAAAGTAATATGTAAATGCAGAAGAGAGACAAGTGAAGAGGAAACAATGAGAGAGAGCCGCAGGGGGGGGCGCGTGTCTTTAGAGAACAAAAGCTACCGATGTCACATGGGGGAATACTTTATATATATTTTTTAGTTGTCGCATTTCCGCCCTTTCCGACAGCGACTGCCAAAAAATATGCATATGGAAATGCAGAGACAATGTGAGGATGGTGAAGGCAGGGCACCAGGTACGGGGTACTCTCTAGCGACTGGGGAGAGAGCGGCGTACATATGCGAGCAGTGGAGAGGAGTGGAGTGGAGTTTTGTGTGGCACATAAGACGTGTGGAAATTATGCGAGGCGCGTGTCAAGTGGCGCAAACTGCAAGAAAACTTTTGCCAAGTCGGTGGTTCCCTTTAGTTCTTGCCCCATACCCATTCCCCCCATTCCCCTCATTTCACCATTCGCCCATTCCCGCTCAACGTCTGCAATTACATTCTGAATTAAATTGTAATGAGGCGCATGCGGCGAAATATGAAAATGAGACCCCAAGACGTAGCGGAATCGAGTCAATGTGGAGTGTAGCAGCGGTGCGGCGTGGCGGCATAACGGCTCCACCATTGGCGGAGACTCTCCGCACACAAATGGCAATTAACAGTTATGTTTGCTGTTCCAACACGTTGCAGACAGTTTTAATGACGGGACGGACGCGATGCGATGCGACGCGACGCGACGCGGACTCGAGGCAAAACTATTTTTAGGTGACTTTGACTTGGACATCCCATCCCCCATCGAATGGCCGCCCCATGCTGCAGGAAGTAACTGTTCACCATCCCTCCGCTAGCTTCTTCAGCGCGTAATTGGCTGCAAACGGAAGTTCGTGTAATTTAAACTCGATGGTGGCAACTCTGGTCAACATCTGGCAGTCGAGACATTTACTCCGGAACGGGGTGGGGCGGGCTGGGTTCAATTGCGCGGAAGATGCCAATAAAGAAAATACCCTTGATAGTGGCCGCCCTTCCTCAAGTGATACTCAAGTGGAATAAGGTGTGAAGCGGGATATCAATGTTCCACTGTTCCACGTTCACCTATTCCAGTGTTCCAAATACGCTGTGCAAAGTTACCATAAGCAAAAGGACACATCAGAACGTGTGACTTCTTTGGAGTCTTGGGTAATCTCAATTGGATTTTAATTTACAAAAAAAAACTATATATAGAAGCATTTTTTAAGACTCGCGCCGCTTCTTGGCTTTGCCCATGTCTTGATCAGTGCCCGCTGCCTGGGCCTTGCCCGTGCTGGTGTTGTAGTACACCCGCCGCTCGATGCCATCCTTAGTGATGATCGCAATGCGCGCTACTCCGCCGGAGAAGCTGTCATGATAGATGGCCTGCTTCAGAGCCGACTTGAAGAGCAGCACCAGCTGCTCCTTCTTCATATTCGGACGGTAGCCATCCCGCAGCATGCCGCTAATGTATATGGATCCCGAGCCGCCATAGCTGAACTGTTCGCGCGCCATCATGCCACCCATCGATATGTTGTAGACCTGGCCCCCGCACTGAGCGTCCCAGCCACCCACAATGATGCCCGCCATCAGGCTACGGCGACTTGTGTAGCATATGTCGCGAAACTCCGCGGCCACATCGCGCACCAGCGTCTGCTGACCCGTGTGCATCTCACGATGCCACATCAGAGTGGAGACCAACTCAGAGAGCTGTTGGGTGTCCGCTGCGGAGCCACTGCGGCAGCAGTAGACATTGTCCGTGATCCGGGTCACTTTGTCCGTCACACGATTGGCCACCAGGCAGCCGGCGGTGGTGCGGGAATCGGCTCCCAGCACCACGCCATCCGCAAACTGGGCGGCCATAATGGTGGTGCCACACTCGACGGGAGTGAAGCAATCCTTTAGATCTAAATCCAACCAATGGGAGTTATTCATTTTGTCAGTAGTATTGAGAGTCGCTCGTTTAGAGCTGGCGAAGTTGTAGTCACTGACTGCTGCGAGAGAGTCAGGCCTACTAGCGAGAGTTGTGTGATCGAGTCAAGGCTTTGAACGTTTCGAGCTCTTACGAATGTTTCGAACGTTTTGAACGCTTCGAGCTCTTCGAACGGCAGTGAAATAATCTGAGATGCAAAAGAATAGAGTGCAATTCTCATAGAATTTTCACAGATCACATAAAACCTACAAATCGCTGGGATTATGGTGCTATAAGTAGGAATCTTTTGGTATGTATTTCTTAATAATTATTATCATACACTTTCCACCTTTGAATATCTGAAACTGTGCAGAAATCCTCTTTTGATGGCGCTGTTTCGTTTTCCCTACCATTCTACTAGCAGCTCGGCATGCTCACGCCTCGTCCTGATTGCCTGGCTGTGCTGTAATCAGAAAGTCCTTGCACGTATCCAGAAATAAGCATAAGAAACATTTCACAAAAATTACAGAGAGAAAAAGGGGGACATTTTTTATGTGTGTGTGTGTGTGCAGGATGCAACGCAAGAGAGTGCCACAAAACGATCAACATTAACTGCCGTTCGTCGTCGTCGTGCCACCCAACAGCCGCGCCCATTTGATAGACGTAATTTTGCAGCAAGTGTTGCGCCCGCCCACCTCCAGAGAGAGAGTCAGGGGGAAAGATGGAAGAATAAGAAGCTGAAGTGGCAGTGGCAGCAGCAGCAGCAGAAGAAGAGTGCATTTAAATGACCGTTTTGTCGCAGCTCCTCTAATGACAACCACTTGCGGCTGTCAAATGCAACTCTGCACGGCACGCAGGGTTGTAATATTTTATGGGCTGCCCTACGGAGAGACGCCCTGATGCTTGTTTGCTTTGCAGCTCACTCTCTGGGTCTGACCAGCACAATGGCATATAGCATATGAATGGCATTACCCCTACGATGCTCTCCAGTCGCCCGTCCCAGCTCCACTCTTTGCTCATTTGGCGCATTCATAATTTCCCCATTAACCTTATTTTCCTGTTATGCACGAGTGGGCCCCTCCAAGATGAAATTGTCACCCCGTTCTACTATGTGGGGTGTGTCCCCACCCCCTCCACGTTTGAAGAACGCTTTTTTACGATGATTTCTACCTCCCTGCCTCTGCTCCCTGATGGATTTTAAATGAACTTTAACACGTGCGCGCTGTCCCTCGAGGTCGGAGGTCCTTGGGAGCGGAACGAAGCTAAGTAATTGGTTTAGCAGTGGCATGGGCGTGGCATCAACGGGCTCGTTTCACAGATTATCCTCGGAGTTGATTTTCAGAGAGAGCTAAACTAATAATAAAAACGTTTCATTCCGCACACAGTTGCAGGGCTGGCTGCATTCAGGGGGGCAACAGTTGGTGCAACGAAATGAAATTCTTCCTCCCTAATGAGATATTGAGTATAATGAAAATTGGATCGTTTCATCAGAGCGGGGAAATTACCTTCAGCTCTGGCAGAACTTATGGACTTTATACTGGAATTTCAAATGGAAATTTCAACTACTTTTTGGGGTATTTCCCAAAGCGAATTGTCGCCATCTCCCAACGGCTTCCATTTGGCAGCAAAGTTCCAGGGTATATGTAGCCCATTTATTTTCTCATTGAGTTGTCATTTTATTTCATTTGCATCCTACTGTCATATCTTGCATGCATATGGGAAATTCTGTCACCATTTTGCTGGAAAAATGTTTGACATTCATTTGGATGACTTCCTGAATGGAAATAACATTTGACTTTTATTTCTTTTGCCCTTAAAATGTGTCCTCTGGAAAGGGTGGGGGAATTTCTAAATTGAAGTTTACTGCTGGAAAAGCCTCCTTTAGGGGAAAAATTTGTATTTGTTGCTGCTCAGATTTAAGTGTGTGCCAAATGCACATTTAATAACGTAATTTCTGAAGCGTGCAAAAATATATATTTTTAGCATTTAGTTCTACTTTGTTCAAAAACTTCAGCTGCTGCTCGCACACTTTTTTTTTCTGCTTCATCTTGCAGCAAAAAAAAAAACTCCACTGCAGATACATATGTATCTGGCACTATATACACATATACATACATATATTTAGGTATACATTTGGAGGTTCAACCGACGTGAGTTGCCCAACTTTTTAGCCCAAAAAAAAAAAAAAAAAAAAGAAAAAAAAATCAAGTAAAAATTTGCATATGCAACGACGTTACTCCTGACGATGATGATGATGATGATGTCGCAAGGAGACGTACATTTGAGGACACACACAGGATACAGGACACTGGCAGCCAGCAGCAAGCACTCCTGAAAGCTTCGCCACTTTTATGCAAATAATGTCTTGCCTGGAATTTTTGTTATTTATAGTTAAGATAGCAAAACGTGTGGATGTCTTGTGGATATATCTGAAAAGTGTGTGTGTCTCTGCATTAGTAGCCATGTCTCTTAGATCTCTACAGCCACTGCCACTGCCTCCTGCGGCCCATGCTCTCTTTATCTCTCTTTCTCTCTGTCTCTCCGTGTCTCTACTTTATACAAGTTATTGCTTCATTTCTTGGGCAAAAACTTCTTCTTCAGCACCTGACAAAAGTGGATACTTTTCGAGGAGCAGCTGGGCTGGGATGGATGGGCAAGTTTTTGAATGTCAAACTTGAATATGGGAACTAACCACTACCCTCTTTCCCATCATCCATTGCATGTGCGTCCTGCAGCCAAATTACATTCTCTACTCTCTCATAAAAGGAAATAAAAAATTGTCATTAAAGTTTTTGGCAGTTGACTTCGATTCATTTTCCTTTTCTCTCTCTCTCTCTGTGTCTTTGCTTCCTTTCGTCTGCATCTTTTATTAGTCATAATTTAAATTGACATTTGCTTTAGTTTTAATCTCGTTTCAATGATTGGAACTTCAGCTGCAGACTCCAGTCACATGTTGCCAACGAAACTCTGGTGACACATCCCACATCTGACAGACACATTGTAAGACGTCACATAAATTCGATTATGAGCAGAAGAAATTGCAATAAATATGTAAATTTTATATGAATGATGGAATGTTAAATACGGACAGACTTTATGGCTCCCCTCCCCACTTGGGAGCTTGTCTACATCCAAAAAAGAAGCTGCAATATTCTCATTCACACGTATATAAAATATATTTCTATATAAATATTATGATTACAGTTCTTTGAAAACTCACCTAATTCCACATAGAGTTTTGGTCGTATATTCTCCTGCCAGGCACTTTGATTACCAATCACGTAGAGTGTTAGTAGTAGGAAGACTTGCATCCAACCGTATCTGTATCCGTATCCGTAGTATCCATACAATTTGCTTAACTTATGCTTCAGTATTTTTGTTGTTGTTGTTGTTTTTTCTACTGTGTCTGCTTTGGTTGCTAATGCTGCTGCTGCTGTTGTTGTTGTTGTTGTTGCACATTTCAAATGCATTTTGTGGCTTTTATTGTTATTATTGTTGTTGCTGTTGCTGATGCGAATGCGGATGCAGATGCTGTTGCTGTTGCTGTTGTTTTTGTTTTTGTTATTTTTATTTGTGTGGCTTCTATTATTATTTTTATTGTGCGTAATTTGGTTTGCAGAGTTGTGGGAATTTAACATTTTCTATTTTGCATAAAATTTATGTAAATGTTTGCCTGTTTTGTCGTTTTGTCGGTCGGTTACAATGTTCAAAAATTGGGAGGTTTTTGGTATTTGGTTGTTGTTGCCTTTGGTTTTCCTGTGGTGTGTGTTATGTTCTTCTCCTTATTATATTTGATTTGATTTTATATATATATATATTTTTTTTGTTTGGTGGATTATATTTAATTTATTTACTGCATCTTTTATTTACTTATACGACTTTAAATACCGCAAATATATTGATTTCATTTTTTATTTAAACATTATTTGTTATTTTTTGCTCAACAAAGTTTGTGTTTAATTTTGGTTAAAAAACGAAAGTTTTTTTGATTTATGGAGAAACTTTTTTCAAACAATTTTGCTGCGGTTAGGAAGTTGCGTCATTTCTGTAATTAGAGGAGAGCGAAAAATGTGAGAAATTAGTAATCAACTTTGAGTGTTTTGTAGAAACATTCAGAAATGTTATGAGTGTAATTTGGTTGGTATTTTAATATTAGGGATAGATTTAGTAATAAATATTATAGCAGTTTGGATTTTTTTTGTTGTTGATATTTTCTCTGTGTTTGTTTTCTATATTTCTGGCTTCGTTATGCTGCTAGTTGTCCGTTATTCTAGTTCTATTCTAGTATTATAGTTATTGGTGTGGCTGAAAGCGAGTGAGAGGGAAATTTTGACATACAAATTGCATTGTGTAAAAATGTACGAAGAAAGCAGAAGAAGTTTTCACAAAGGTGGAGGGAATATTGAGCTGTTTGGTAGTTTTTATGATTAATACGATTGTTGGGTGTATTTTTTTGGTTACTGCCTTAAAACAGAAAATCAATCGGAAGTTCCCCCGTGGCACATCCATAATCCACTAATGTGAATGTGCTGCCAATGTTAATGGAACTGCGCTCAAAATGATTCAATTCATCATTTTGCTTGCACAAAAAAATACAATTTAAATTATACGTTTTAGGCAATAAATTAAGCAAATAAATGTTGCATATAATATTATTCCGATCTGCTATATCCCTAACTCCCCCAAATTTGCTCGTTTTTTATATGTATTATTTTCTAATACATATCCCTTATTCGTTTTGCATTTTTTCAATTTCGTTGGCATAAATTTTGTGCTCGATTTAATGTAGGTCTCCCCTCCCCGACCCCCAAATGGCACTCCTTCGCCCCACGTTTCTTGGCCAAGTTATTGAAAGCGGCTTATTGTGCAATCGTGTGTGTGCACACACACACACACACACACATAAGCACGCATTGAGCCACGCCCAGCTATTAGGGCGTCTTTTGCTATGCAGATACACTCGCAAGTTGAGCGACCTTCGCCCACAAATGGAAATGGATTCTGAGGGAGGCGCAAGAGCGCAGAAAAAGAAGAATAAAGTAAGCACACGAGAGAGAGAGAGAGAGAGAGACAAGGGACAGGCGAAAACAAATTGAAAGGAATGAAGGAAATGCAGAGTGTAGACAGGAGGAGGAGTAAAGGTGCCAAGTAGCGTGCACAGTTAATGAGTTTTCCCCCAGCAGACCCAACCAAACCCACCCCCCTCCCCCACACACTATTTTCCCCACGCAGAGAAATTAAAATGTAGCACGAAAATGTACAAAAATCTAGCACACGAAAGGGGTTGACAAGGTGTTTTTCATTTCGTTTCGTTTCGTACTGCTCTGTTCTGTTCTGGTGGGTTCTAGCCTCGACTCAAAATGGGGTTATTTGGTGTCATAAATCTCCACAGGTGAAAACCCCCCACACAGCACGGCAATGGGGCTGGGTGGCAAAAGTGCAGCGCAATTTGTTTTTCCAAGTCATGTGCATCTGTGTCGGCTACGTTCTAATTATGACGTCAACAAAGCGCGTAGGTGCCAAGTAAAATGGAGAAAGAAATAAGCCAAGCTTGGGGCGACCATTAGGTACCCTGCCCCCATATATCGATAGTGTCCGTTCGCTTATGGCAAATTTATGCAGCGAATTTGTTCGTAGAGTGTGCCGCAGTAGATCTGGGCACCTAAAGAAGAGGCTGTGGGGCGAGTGCCAGCGCTATAGTTCTTCGGGTTTAAGTCCCCTCTAAAATCCTATGCACTTTGAAGTATTAAAAGTCATATATTTAGCAGGGTATCAATTGCAAGGGTATTCATAAACGGGCAGCAGTTGTGGCAGGTAGCAGGGCATGGTGGCTTACGGTGAGTACAAGTCGAGTATCCACTTTGCAGCAGCTCGCTCTCATGTATCTTTTTGTTCCTCTTTGCCGATTGTTAGTTTAGATAAAGCGCCACAGATACACACACACACACACACACACACACACACACACACAGGAGCATGGAGTAGCGTCAGGTGTAAGCGTCTGTGTTTTAGTCGAGTGCCCTGGAAAGGGTTTACGCAAAATTTAACCCAAAATTGTTATGGCAGAGAAAAGTCAGAGGGAGTCAGAGGGAGAGAGAGAGAGAGCGAAACCATCGAGTGGAGCTCTCAATAAAAGATTTAAGTGAACATAAGAGAGCTTTGCACTATTATTAAATGCAATTTTGATTTAAATGCTGGAAGTTGCATTACATATTGACGGAGTGCACTCAAACGAGTGGCGATTATTAATCGATAATCAAGTACATACATTTAAATAATTCTGTAATTAATGGCTACGCCAGCAGCTTTTCCTCATTTCTCATCTTCTTGTTGTGTTTTTTGCTTGAATGTTGAGTAATAATTTAGAGCTAAGCACATTGCTGGAGAGGCCTCTTATCCCTATGCAAAGTGCAAACATAAAACACTTTTCGGTTGGCAAAGCATCCTCATCAAAGGCGAGACGTTGGCCCAGGCATTTAAAATGAATTTTCCCCCCTACACACACACACACATAAAAGAGGCCACGAAAAATGAGGCACACAGCCACGCCCAGGCAATGGCTTTGGCTCTGGCTCTGGCTGAGCCTGTTCCTGGCTCCTGAATCTGGCAATTGCATTACACACTGCAGTTGGGGCAGAATATCCCCCCCCCCCTTGTTTTACAAGGACTAAGGGGGTGTCTAGGGGGAGTTCTGTTTTGTAAATGGCTACCAAAAATTAAATGCCACAAATCCCTGCAGACAGCACGAATATGTTAAGAGTGTACTCGTAGTGTAGTGTAGGGGGTGTGTGTGTGTGTGTGGTTGTGTGGTGTTTAAACAACTACAATAACAATGTCGGCGGCAGCCTCAGCCCCAGCCCCAGTCCCTCTCCCAGCCAGAGACCCGGTTACGGGTCTGCGTCTGAGCCTGATGCATTGCGCATATTACTCAAAAATAATACCAACACAACTCAAAAAGAAGGAAAAACATAACAGCAACAACAAAAACTAAACAAAACATAAAGAAAACCCGAGTAGGCATTGTCTGATCACGGCTGAAAAATACCCCTTAAAAAGGCTTAACGGAAATGGATAATTGAAGCTGGGGACTGGCATCAGTTGAGGGCAGAAAAGAACCCCAAACCTTTGCCGCATTTACTTGAACGGTTCAGTTCAGATCAGTTAGACGCGGTGCAGCAGCGCCCCTCAGCTTGCTTGCGTGTAATAAACTTCGGCTAATATCAATAAAATAATATCAATAGAAAATGTACTATAAATAAAGTTCCATGACTTTTATTTTAGACGTGAAATTATGGCAATATTTTAATAGCCAATTAGCTTCTGGGCCTCACCGCTGCTCGATACAGTTTTCTTTTGGTTAATCCTACATTTTCATTCCTTTCTATTAAAACTCGAACAATTATAAATAAATAATAATAATAAAAAATAATATCATAATAAAATAAAAATAAAATTAAAATAAAATAAAATAAGTAACTAAATAAATATAAATTAAATGATATTTTTTACAGGTATATACTTCTACTATATATTCAGCGTACAAATGATTTGTATGTTGCATTTGCATACCCTGCATGCTGCCTGTCAGTTCTGTGCTCGGATATCAGATAACCCCCCTTTCCCATCACACCATTCCACCAACCCACCCCGCCCACACACTTAACACTCATCAGGCAATGCAATTTGCTTTTTTGTGGCCGCCATTTTGTTGTAGCTCTTGCAAAATGGCCGCCATGGGTATAGTATGAAACAACAGAGAAAAGCGCAAAAAATCATCACTTAATACACAAATAAATGGCGCATTTTTTCGACTGTTTTCCTATATGGGAATTTTTTTTGTCTGTTTGGTAACACTTTATATCGTTTGTGCTGCTGCTGCTGCTGCTGCTGCCTGCAATGGGAAAATATTTATGTTGGAAAATCTTCTGCGGCTCGACGCGAGATGTTTTTCTTCATTTTGGGCTGTGCGCCTCCCCGCCAACTTGTTTGTCTTGTCTGCATATCCTGCAGCGATTTGTTTCTGTTTTGTCCTGCTGGGTTTTTCCCTTTCGAAGGGGGTCGGGGGTGGCGCTCACAGTCAAGTTGGAGTACCATTCCCTCATATCCTTTTCCTTGTAAAAATGGGATTTGTTCTTGTGTGTGTATCGCGGCGCAAAAGTTCTCATTTATTAGCTTTGTTTATGTGTCTGTTTGAAAATATTTCACAATTTTTACAGGGACATACAGGGGACGTGTGTGTGTGTGTGTGTTGTCGTCGTCCTCCAGGCAGCAAAGACAAACAGATTTATACGTTTAGAAAACTTTGTTTCCTTATCTCAACATCCATGTGTGTGTGTGTTGTGTTTCTATCTGTGTTTGTGTTTCGTGTTTTATGTTCATCTTCGCAAGGAAGAGGCCAGTCCCTGTGTCCCGCTGCCTGCTGCCTGTGGCCCGTGGCTGTGGCGGTTTGGGGTACTTGAGTAAATAATCATAATGGAATTTTTAAGGCTTATGACAATTTAACATGTCTAACCCTCGAGTGCTGCTTGTGGGTTCTCCTCGTGCCTGTCTGCATGTGTCTCTGGGTGTCTCTGCCTCGGAGACTCTCTGCAGATCTCCGTTTCTCTGTTTCTGGTTTTGGTTAACAATGAATTATGCGTTTTTTTGTTGGTGGATTTAAATTTGTATATTAAGTTGCTATTTAATTGGAATTTATGCGTTTAATAAATGAGAAATGAACGCAGGAAAATATGTTGAGATATTTATTTCACTTTTTTTAATATTTACGCGTATTTTTTAAGGGAATCTGCGTATTCTATACCCCTGCTCCTTTAAGTCACATTCATCGAATGATGCAAATTAGAATTTAATTATTAAGAATTTGGAAATTAACTAAAGAATTTTCTTTTATTTAATTACATATATTTATTATTTTTATTAATTATTCAAATCCTTGAGAAAATTCAAAAAGAGCTTAATCGACATACAAATATTTATTTATTTATGTTTATTTTTTTATTTATAATCCACCTATCACATTGTTCCATTCTAAATCTTGAAATTATGAATTATTTCTACAGAAAAGTAGGCCTGGAAAAATCATGAATTTAAATTCATTTTTAATTCATATTATTCATATCATTTAAAATTTAAATACAAAACAAACAAAACAAAATCATACAAAAAAACCTAACCAAATTCTTTCGTTTTTAACATTTTTTCCATTATGGTTATCGCTAAGAAGAGCTCCAGAAAAAACACACACGCAAAGTATCGACGACAAAAATACGCCCCCACCACGGCCAACGGCTTCTTCAACTTTCTGAGAGAGTTCAAAATGTCACACGTCGGTCTGCATCCCCAATTGATGGTTACGCGTGGGGCGAAGGCATGGGGAAGACTAAGTGCCAAAAATAAAACCGCCTATAAACACTTGGCAATACTGGAAGAGATCGCCCTTCTTAAAACCCACTTTAGGTCTCTCGTTAAGAGCAAACCTGGGTGCACAAGATCGAAGAAGAAGGCAAAGTAAAAGTCCCGATACAGACGGCAGCACAAATGTTTAGCCGGGTTCAAGGAGTAAAAGTGAGTGCAAATTCTTCCAATATCCACTACAATATCAGAGTAATTACAAGAAGTGTATTTTATTTCAGATTCAGTGTATTTAATTTTGAACTTTAAACATTTTGGTCAAGGAAACTCTCTCTGAATATAAGTTATAAATAAATAAATATAATAAAATTAAATACATGCAAGAAAATAAATACATAAATTAAATAAAAACATATATAAATCAAAGAAAGATATAAAATAAATATACACATTAATCAAATAAAAAAAAATATAAATCAAATAAAGATATAAAATAAATATACACATAAATCAAATAAAGATATAATTAAATAAATATACACATAATATATAATAGTTTATAAGTTTCATATGTGAATGGCTAATTAGCCAGTAAAATGGGAACTAGTGGAATGGAATGTGCACGAGATAGTACGCTACAAACTAATTAAAGTTTGCTTTGTACTTTTGTTAATTACTATTATCTATAGAAACAGATAAGATCTCTTATCTGTGGCCAATTTATCTGCCTGCCTGGTAGCTCCCTGCTCACGCAGTGAGGATTCAAAGCTCATTTGGTGAGTTTAAGCTTTATTATCTCCCTCCGAAGCTCCTCGAGCCGAGAGAGCTCTAGTGCACGGGGCGTAGCGCAGGGCAGGGGAGCAGTGGGGACTTATACCTATTTCTTATGCCATGTCACGTTCGCGCTGAATTTCTTTTTGCTGCTGCGGCTGCTGCTGCTGCTGCGGCTGCTCGAGTATTTAACATTTTTGTTTTCTCTCTGCGGTTGTCTTGTGGCGTATTTTTTAGTAAATAATAGTTAGTTAGTTCTCTGCTGCCTCTCGCTATCTCTATCTCTCTCTTTGTCTGTTTCTCTGTCTCCTCGTAATTATTATTCCTATTCCGGTCTCGGAAAGGCAGCTGGTGCCAGGCAGCGCAGGAGGCAGGCAGCCAAAAAAGCTTCCCTTCCTTTCTTTACTTTGCCGCATTCTGTTTGGCCTGGGATTAGCATAATGCTATTTATTGTTGTGCTTTTCTTGTTGCCATTCGGCATTGTGGCCGACTGCTCGCTTCTCCAGTTATAACTTGAATTTCTTTGCCTTTTGTGGAGGGTACTATGTAAATTTCTGCAACTTCCGCCGCTTCTTCCGCTGCTGCTGCTGCTGCTGCTGTTGTTGCATGTGCAACAGACTTTTCTTGTTTTGGCCACGAAAGTTTGCTGCCGCCACTCGATTCATTATTAATTTTTGGCTTACAATTTACACTTGATGAACATCTAAATGGAACGAGGGGATGTCCCTGAGACCAATAGACTGTGATAACAATTTGTAGACTGAAAGTTTTTCCTTCCTGCATCGTCCATCCTCCCCCCCCCCCCACAAGTCCTTTTCCTTGGAATTTTATGCAAAACTGCTGGGCAAACCAATTTGGAATTTGTTGATAGAAGTGCAGAAAGATGCCAAAAGGGAGAACATAGATAAGCAAGAGTCCTTCAGAGCAGAGTCCTTCAATTTAAGTGGCCCGAGCATGTCCGTCCATTATGCATTGTGTATATAGCTGCCAGGAGGCAGCCACCGCTGCCGCTCTGGTTGCAAGCAGAACAATACTATCTGCGCGCTGCACTGGCATTTCCATTAAGAATTGAAGTTTGCTTTAAACAAATTGAAAAGAAAAGTGAAAAGATTGCATGACAGAACAAAACAAAACGTGGCAAAGCCAATGGAAATGCTTCATGCTAATGGGAAACTTAAGAAAAAGCCAAAGAAATAATCTCAAAATATTTCTAAGCTAAAATATTTATCCATTTTTCCATCAAAATCAATTCTTATTTTTCCTGCGACCTTCCGTCCTTCCGCTTGTGTGTGTTGTTTTCTTTGATAACAAATATTTTTCATAAATATTTTCCACGTCACGTCTGCGCATTGTCGAACCTCTGGCCCGCCCCCCCTCTGGGTCTTTACTTTGACAAGCATTTAGTACGTGTTAGACCTCGACCAAAGGGCTTAACGCAGCTACCCCCCACCCCACCAGAAAACCAAAATCTCTGGGCCATCTCGTTGGCACTTTGATGCCATGATTTATGGGGCGTTTGAAGCCAAGGGGGATGTGAATGTGTCGTTTGTCCCTCAGCTCGTTTGCATTTGATAATCCCATAAAATTTGCGTATGTCGGAGGAGGACAATTTGACTCTGCCAGGGGCTTGAAAATTGCTCATAAATAATGAAGCTAGGATTTTTACAACAACAACAACAACAAAATATATTCAACACGAAATATCAATAGCTGCGAAACTTCTTCTTTAAATTGATTAATAAAAGTATTTTATTTTCAGTTGTTCTTTTTTGTGGAAGAATCTCAAGAGAGAAACGTGTCTGAAAAATGTCTTTTGAGTGTGGTATCCATTAAACAAAGTTGACATTTGACAAAGCGTTGAAAAGCCTAGACCTAGACCAGCAAATAAACAGAAAACCTCGAAAACAGAACACCGAAAAAAAAAACTACAATCAATCAATCGAGTTTGTTTGGTTATTCGGCTATCAGGTGGTAACACGAGATACAGAGATACACACAAAAAAGAATAAGAATGAGAGCCATTAAAGCCAACAGAGCTGAGAGTGGTGCTTGGGTTTCAGTTTCCAGGAGAAAAGTCACAAATTAACCGCCGAATGGCAGGGTGGGAGTGGGAGTGGGAGGTACTTCATTTCTTTACGATCTTTACAGTCAATTGGAAAAGCGGAAAACACATTGAGGAAACGACTTTGGGGGTTGGTAGGTTTGTTGGTTGGGTCGTCATCAATTAGAGTCAATAAAAATTATAATGCAATGACCGCAACGACAGAGAAACCAATTTCAAGATCCCCACAAATTGAGGCCACAAAAGTTAAACCAGAGAGCAGAACCTACCTTCGGCAGGGTAACACAAATGTTTATTCAATCGCCATGAGGCGGCGAGGTCGAGGAAGAGGGCAGAGGAAGAGGAAGAGGAGCATGTTGGTGCGAAGGTGAGGACGAGCGAGTTAGGTACACAATGTGTCACATCATAAATGTCACGGGCACATTTTGTTCGCTTATTTGTACTTTTTTTTGTTGTTGTTTTTTTTTTGTTTTTTTTCTTCCTTCTCGGGTTTTTAGTGCTGTCATAAATTTTTATTTTACTCTTCAAGAGTTCAAACAGAAAACAGAAAACAACAAAACAAATAATAATAATAATAATAACGAGCTAGAGAGAGAGAGAGAGGAAGAGAGAGAGACAGCGATAATGTTGAGCAGGGTCAATGGTATCCGAGTATCAAGAAAGAGACAGCTATAGCAGCATGGACTGAGAGAGAGAGAGTGAGAGAGTGAGAGAGGGCGCCAGCCACCATCCGTTTATGTGGGACACAAAGTCATAAATCACTTAATCACATAATTAGAATGTAGGAGAAAAAAAAATTGATTTACGAGATTTTGAATGCGAATTATTTGCCGTTGTTGTTGTTGTTGCTGCTGCTTGGTAGTCGCGTGTTTGGGATTATTTACGAACTTTCAACCCCAAAACAAAACCCTGCACAATAGTTGTATATATGAAATGTGTGCAAATGAAGTGTGTTAGAGTTGGTGGGATTCCCAGACAAGCGAGGGGTAAGGGAGAAAGCCAATTGATGGATGGCACATAAGTGCAACATTGCAAGTGGCAGGGTTTCGAGTAGATTGCAAGGTTATGGCAGGGAAGGGGAGAGGGACAGGGAGAGGGACAGGGAGAGGGAGAGGGTTGTGTTCCCATATTCAAGGTGATTTGAAAAACGTTTGAAAATGTTTCTAAAAGGTGTGGCATGCACGTAAATGAATGTGTCCTTTCGCTTATGGGAAATTACTTGTTGGAACAGTGAAAATGGAACAAACTGTGGGAAGAGGGCATTTACTTGGAGGAGATTCTCTTAGCAAAATGCTAAAATTAAAAATAATTCTCATTGCTAATTGAAATTTTAATCACACACACGCTCGCTCACAGGTTAACATTGAATTTGATTAGGTATAAATAAAAAGACAAAATGGAAAACTTAAAACGCTCTCAGCTCACATCCAATCAGAAGAGCGACGCTGATGCGGGCACGTGCTCATATTACGGGCGATGTTGTTCCTCTGCTGCCACACCAGGATCCTGGGCGACAATGGGTACATGTACTGCCACAGCATTTTTATTTTTATTTTTTATTTGTCAGGGGGGGGGGGGGGCTGTCAAAAGTCAAAGTAAGCCGACAGACGGCAACAGGGCTAGGGTAGGGGGTGGGAAAAAAATAAAAACGCAAAAGGTTTGAGGTACGGTACGTGACACCACCAATTGCTGCCAATACACTGCACTGGCCCCAGACCCTTAGGGATTCGGAGCAGGAGACCACCCGTTCACCCTGTGCCGAATGGCCCTCTAGCATCCATCCCCCTTAATCCCGTTTGACTTGAGGGCTTAGCACACACAGTTGACATCGATAGAAGTTCTTTTCCTTTCTGTTTTGTTTTCCCATTTTATGCTCTAAATATCATGGCCAGGGGTTGGTGTCATAACCGTTTAATGCAACCGGTTAGCCCGGTTCAGTTGCAATGTTCCTTGGGGGGTTTCGTACGCTCATTAGCTGTGCTCTTCTAATACCCTAACAGTAGGATTAATTATATATTCTGTTTATATCTTCTGGCAGAGAGCGTCACATGATTTTTCCTAGATATTCGAAGCACCAGAAAGCGATGCATTTTTAATGTTCCTATTTTGAAATAATGCACCAAATATCAAGAATATTCTAGAGTTCAAATTTTTTCTTCTTAGAAAAATTGCTTGGAAATTTTAAACCTTTTCCTAAAAAGAAAAAAAAACATATTTAGCAATAAAGTAAAAAGGGAAAATGTCGCACCCGTCTACCGGCCGTTCTTTTTTTTCGGTGACCCTTTTTTGATTCGTTTTCAATTTATTCCCCACAGGGTGCCCCATGCCACAAGAGGGTGACCCAATCTCAAGGCGTTCCCAGGCACGCACGCACCCGACACTCTCCCACTCTCTCTCTCGCTCTGCATTTCTCTCGCTCTCTCTCTCTCCCTCTCTCTCTCTCTGTCTCCCTCTTTCTCTTCTCCTGTTAACACTGTTTTTTTTTATTGCATCATAAATTTAATATTTTTATGTAATGTTTGTATA